GAGAGAGAGAGAGAGAGAGAGAGAGAGAGAGAGAGAGAGAGAGAGAGAGAGAGAGAGAGAGAGAGAGAGAGAGAGACTTGTGAGGTGGATAGCCTTCACAGATCAATCAGACAATGCGGTGGTCATCAACAGCTTGGGAAAGACGAGATTTTGCTTCGTGACTATCGACGTGAGGGGCCAGACCGTAGCCACGTGACCACGGGGTAATGATTGAGCCAGCCCCTGATCGATCAAACCGTCGCGGGAGGGAGGCAGACCGCTACCCGCTACCACACCCAAATGCCACAGCAACCGCCCACAGCACCCTATCCACGTCCCGTTGCTATTTCAAACAGTCGTAGAATCACTGTGACCTTACTCCCCTTCTTGTCCCAACAACTGGGCCCAGTTACAAGGCACAGGAAGGCTGAGGAAGCTCCCTGCCATCCATGGGTTTCTTGATTGGGCTGCAGGCGGCTACCACGTTGAGCTTCTCTTGTGTCGTTGTGTCGTTCCCCTTCTCCAAGTTCTCCTGGTGCCAATCCGGCGATTCCAGCTCCTTTTCTCAATCAGTCGAACTCAGTCTTCTGCCTCTATGGACTAACTGTGACCGTCATTCCGGACTTGAAGATCCAGCAAAGCCCTGGTGTGATGAGCATGCCCTACGGAAGATAAGCACTATGGCCACAGCCCCACTGCGCACTGTCACTGCCCCCCAACGACAGTACAAGCCCCTTGCGAGCACCTCAGGTCCTGCAGATGAGGGTTCCTTTATGACAGGCCTCGGCCCTTCGACTCATGTATGCAGCTTACATATACGCAGATGGCCCTGTTGGAACGCACCTGGATGTGGGCGTGACCTGCTGCATTGCACTGCTTTGCGAAGACTACCAGGTGGAGTGCCTCCCGTTGGAGTGCAGTCCTCCGGCAACGACGCTATAGAGACTATGGGTCAGATCCCACTACCCTGGATTATTCATTTTCCACCCTCGATTACGAAGATCAACGGTCAGAAATGAACAATAGGGGCTAGTGGGATCTGGCCCTAAGGATTTACCACGAGAGCGCGGATAGCGCAGGCCTCCGTGGGAGAGGCGGGGGCATGCCGGGTTGCTATGCCACCGACCGTGCTATGCTGCTTGCTATGCCGTGCTGCTGCTCTTAGTGCTATGCTAAGGGAACCGCTGCACCATGCTATAGTCATGCTTAGCCAAGCTGTGCTCTCTCCGATAAGATGCTAGCAACCGACCCGGTCCGACCGTGCTATGCTGCGTGCTATGCCGTGCTGCTGCTCTTTGTGCTATGCTAAGGCAACCACTGCACCATGCTATGGTCATGCTTAGCCAACCTGTGCTCTCTCCGACAAGATGCTTGGCTTGGCCGTATATGCCAAAACTTCGCTGAGTTCAACCGTCATTAGCTCGGCATAGCATTAGGATAGGAAGGATAGCACAGCAAACCTGGCTATGTTGCGGCTTAGCCATGCTTAGCTTGGCTGTGCTTTGTAGCAAAATTCGCCGGAAAAAAACACCCCCAGTTAACCACGTGTGGCCAGGACAGGGCTGGTGCATGCTCCACTGGCATTGGACCGTCCCCAAGTGATAAAAGCTAAAATATTGTTGCTGCGGACAATTTTAAACCCTTGATGTTCAGAATGGGATGCTGGACCCTGGTTTCCAGCAGGTGTTGCTCCCACCAATAAAGTGGAGCCGTCCTCCTAGCAGCGCAAACAGGAAAACAAAAAAAAACAAAAGAAACAAGAAAACAAAGGCACAGTGAGACGGCCCTAGTCGCACAGTGTGAGGAGGCCTGTAAAGTACGCGCTGTGCACATTTCGGTACGCACACCCCTCTGCACACTCCTCCGCCCTCCATCGCCTTCATCCACTGCCCCTCACCAAAACTTCGACCCAAATCCAGCGCGCAGCGCCTATGAATCCCCCGCAGCCGCGGTCACCGCGGGCACGACCGCGGACTGCGGTCGCGACTGTGGGCCCGCGAAAAAAAAAAAAAAAAAGAATTCAGAAAAATCTGAAAAAAATAAATGTTATGCCAAAAAATAAACTGAACAACTTTTGCCTTGGGGTCATATCAAAACTCGTTACCAAATTTGAAATCAAAAACAAACAAAATCCTTTATTTTTCTTACTAAAAGAATAAAGTAAAGAACTTTTGCCTGAGGGATTTCTGTTTTTTTTT